GAATCCTTGGGGATAGGTTTATCTGCTAAATTTACCTATTAAACTGGAATTCACTAGCACTAGAGAACCTTGTAGCGTACAAGTCTTAACATATCCCTACTTAAGCAGTGAACTTCGTCCTAAATTTGGAGGTTTTGTACGGTAATGTTGCAATATCACTTGAAGTTGATACCATTTATTCAATATCTGCATTATGATGTTTATTCTATACATCAGCATTATGATATCTTCTTTGATTTCTACTTACTATCAGAAATGGGTTCCAAAAACTGGATAAGATCAAGGATTCGAATAGGCAAAGTAAGCAATTGGAAGAGCTCACAGGAAAGATGAGGGAATGTAAAAGGTATGGAAAAGCCAGCACATAGCTCTTTGAACATGTGGGAGCTTCTCTTGTTGCTTTATGAAAAAATTACAGTTTGTATCATGCATCCTCAGTCTCTTCATTAAATACTGGAACAGTAAATTCATTTAGATGTTGGCCAAACTAAACACATAAATTGAGAAAAACTGATGTTCAATCAACATGCTTCCTAGTTTGTTAATGTTCTTTGTGAATCTTTATTAAAGCTCATTACAAAATGGAGCTATTCTTGCAGATTAATAAAAGATTTTGACCGTGAAATCAAGGATGAAGAGACCAAAAGTTCACCGGAAGTGCATAAGCAGCTCAATGATGAGAAGCAATCAATGGTTAGTTCATTGTTATTTTATCTTTCAAACTTATGACATGAACGCATCTAGTGAAGGAAGTACTTGTATAAATTTTGATGGTTAGCAGATTAAGTGAATCAGTTTGCATTGGTTTTGATTGAGGTTGCAAAACTTAGGACATGAGGTTGCCAAATCATAAGCTAGCAGATTTGCTGTTCTGCTGTGGTGAGACGTAAGGCAAGATAATTTGGTGAATTGCTGTCTGCATTTTTTTAGGAAATTAGGGAACGTTGGTGTAGGATTATTAGAGAAGCTTTGACAGATGCCTCTATCCGCCTCAAATGCCATTTTTTTTTTTCCATGAGTACTGTTTACCACATTGCTTGCAGTTCAATTTTAGAATTGAATAATTCAAATAATTTATCATTCAAAATAGTTATTTGTGTGGAGGCATCACACATTGTCTATTATTTTGTTGTCAACAACCTTGGTCAAAATTTTAGAAAACATTTTAAGTTTTTACTTTCATGCTGGATTGAGTGCTGATTTTGAACTTGAAGCAGAAAAGTAGTTTTTTTATATTTGTATTTTTTTATTTTAGAATGTGAGATATCTCTGAGTATCATCATTTCTAACTGCTCTAGGTTTCCTTATGTTCAATTTCAAGAGCATTGAGAGGATTGAAAATTGTTGGGATATATATATGGACAGAATAGTATACGTTTTTTCTTTTTCTTTTTCTTTTTTTTAAAAAATAAACTGGGAAATATATGCATTGGCTTATAGATTTAAGATGCCTTGTCATTATCTCATAATTGCCTTGAACGAAGATGTTGGAAAACTCTTTGATTGTTGAGAATTTTGTGGTCATGTTGCTTGTTGACGAAAGTGTACTTTTAAAATGTGTCTTTTCTCATGGGATTTCCGAACCAGCTTTCCCTTGGAATTGATTATTTTTTCTATGCCAGTGAGTTACATGTATCACTTATTGATACTGTAAGATGGAACTTTTCCGGCCATCTTTATTATTGCTCTAAATATTTCTTTGGAGATTAGTGTTTACAGTGGTTTTGAATTTAATTGATCTTGTGCTTATTACAATATTTTCATTTTCAGATCAAAGAGCTGAATTCATTTGTTGCATTGAGGAAAACGTAAGTTCTCCCATTTTCTTATCGGAATGTGGCACTACCTAAGTAAATAATTTAGGATGATTTAATGGGGGGGGAGTAATTCTTGCCTGAGAATGGAAGTAATGGGTAAGACAAATTTTCCCTCTTGGGAAAATATATCTGTTTCAATTTCTAGGATGTGGGTGCAGAATATATCCACTACCTTGATTCCAACTCTTCCTAATTTTGTACACATTGGATAGTCACTGGAAGTTTGGTTTCCAATTGAAAAATGGTAGTACCTTTTGATTCAAATATTAGTGAATGCTTCAATATATATATATATATCATTTTCTTGTCTTTACAAATCTAAGCATGAGAAATCAATTTTTTTTATCTCTTATTTATGTTCTAGTATCTTGTTTTTCTATGGGAATGATGTGTCATAAATGATCGATTCTATTTTGATAGCGGAAGTAGCTGTCAGATGACAAAATAAAAGCAAATGAAGAGGGGTGGGTGTCAGATCCTAGTTGCTTGTTATACTTGCCTTTGTAATTGATTTCACCTTGTAATTTACTTATTGGAGGTGTTCTTGTTTTTCTCCAATAGGGGAGTGCCGAATCATAACATTGGTCAAACCTGTTCACTGTATTAATGACAAGTGTTGCCTATTAGAAAAAGAATAAAGGTATAACAACCGAGTCAGTTAGATTTTGATCTCATGCTAATGTTGTGAAGTCACTTCTTTTATTATTATTATTATTTTCACAATGAAACATATGGTTTCTCATATTTAAAAAATATTGCCCAGCCACTGGAATCATTAGTTCCCTTTTTTCAAATGACTGAACGTGGTTCACATAATTCAGCATATTCAATGGTTTGCTCTCAGTATATTGGAATCAAATTGGTGTGAGTTTCTAATGTTTTATTGCTCAATGAATTACAGGTACATGAATAGTCTTGGTAATAAAAGGGTTGAGTTATTTGATGAGGGAGGTGTAAGTGAACCTACAGCTGATGATAATGTTCGGATGGCCTCATGTAAGCTATATTTTCCGTATCTGTAGGCATTCATAGAAAAATTCCCTGGTTGCCTATAGGGGAGGGACTGCTGATATCTAATCCAAAGGGAAGGAATTCCTCTTGGACTTTCCTGTTAAAGAAAGAACTGTTGAATTAAGCTTATAATTTAAGAAGGTTTTTAAAGCAAGGTTCTTATCATTTTTTAAAATATTTTTTTTTATGCGAGGCTAACGCTCATGTGGTGATGAATGAGGTTATGAAAATCTGCCTCACCCGGCAGCAAGCTTCTTATTTTATATGCTTGGAATTCTACACAGTATCTATTTTTCTCATTCGATTGGCATGCCTTTGTGCTGTAGCAATGACAAATCAAGAGCTTATAGACGCTGGGAAGAAGACAATGGATGAGACGGATAAGGCTATTGAACGCACTCAAAAGGTGAAGAACTACTTGAAACATGTGATTTTATCATTTCTATCCCCTTTGTTCTAATGCTTAGCTTTGACCCGTAGGTGGTTGAACAAACTATTGAAGTGGGAACTCAAACTGCTGTTACATTAAAAGGCCAAGTATGTTCAACGTTGAAATTATACCTTATGGTTAAAAGTATATTCTGAGTCTGGCCTGATTAGTAGAATTTCCTGGGTATTCTTTTAACTTTTCCTCATTAAATTTCCAGACTGAACAAATGGGCCGCATAGTAAATGAGCTTGACACAATTAATTTTTCGATTAAGAAAGCATCCCAGCTTGTGAAAGAAATTGGGAGACAGGTAATTTTGGTTTTGTGTCTGGGACACCCCTCCCCCCCCACAAATAAAAAGAAAGAAAAACGTGATTTTGGTTTTCTTAGTGGGACTAACCCCTCCCTTCCCCCTTTGGAAAGGTTGCTACGGATAAGTGCATCATGCTGTTTCTATTCCTTATTGTCTGTGGAGTGATAGCCATTATTGTAGTGAAGGTAAATTCTGCAGTTTATTTTGTTATACCTTGAAAGAACAGTTCCAGATGATGGATAATATTTGGTGTGTTTTGTAATAACAAGTTTGATATGTGTAACTTTTCAGATTGTGAACCCCAACAACAAAGACATCAGGGATATTCCTGGACTGGCACCTCCAGCTCCTGCAAGGAGGCTTTTGTATCTGAGGACGCCTGAACATTTCGAGTAAATTCTTATTCTAGGAAGATGTATGCCTTCTTTGTTTGTGTTATATCTATTTCGAGTGAATTATTGCTTAAAGAAGGCATCGAGACATGACACTGAGAATTCATCTGCTCTACTTGTATGCAATTCAATCTATTCTTGGCTGAGATGTGCATATAGCTTGGTTGTGATTTTGGTTTCATTTCAAGACACTGATCCTGTAAATGTTTAACTTTATGAGGTGATTCGTGTCTTGCGGAATTGACCCTCCTAACATTCTTATGTACACTTCACAATTAATTACACTCCCACTGCCCACTGCCCACTGCTTCTTATTTTGTTCTATTTTAAATGCCATTAAAATTATGGCTTCGATAATAACATTTGATGATAATGATAATAATAATAATAATAATAGGCTTATTACTTGTAACAAATATGATATATTAATAGATCTAGTCCTTGTCCTCTGCTGGAATTCTCACAACTAGGATAGGGTCACTGGTTCAGTTTAAGAGACCTGGAACTTGCAACAAAGCATTTTTCAAACGTCAATATAATTGGGGAGGGAGGATATGGACTTGTTTATCGAGGTCATCTCTCATCAATGGAACACCTGTGGCTGTTAAAAAGCTTCTAAATCTGTAAGTTTGTCTGATTGGTATAGGTCGTAAATTGTAAATGTAATGCGGGCTTTAATTTGTGTAAAAGACAAGCGAAAAGGGAATTCAGAGTGGAAGCGGAAGCGTTTGGGCATGTGAGGAAACAGGACCAAAGGTTGTGTAGTTTCTCTTTTTCTATTGGAGTGACATTCAGTTTACCAAACGAGAGCGATGAAGGTTAAGCAAGCGGTCATTGTTATTGTTTGGATACAAACCAAAGGGGGAGATGCATCGTCATTATTTCACTATGCCACGCCCAATGCCAAAGCCACGAGTTACCAGTTCAATTTTATGGTATATTCTTACAAAAAATTAAAGTAATAATAATAATAATGAAAAAGAAAACCGTTGGGCAATTGGTCTGGTGAATTAATCTATATTTAGAATCCCACTAAATTCATCCACATCACTTCTCGCAGCCGTGGGGAGCTCCATCATCCTTGTTGAATAATGGCAGCCATGGCTTCCTACTCCTTCTCCTCCTCGCTCCTTCCTTCTTCTGTTTCTATCGATCATGGCTTCGTTTCCTTTTCCCCCATCTTTCCTTCTCCTTCTCCTTCTCCACACTCCAATACTCTCATTGTTCGCTGTGCCTTTGCAGCCCCCGCCAGAAGATCCCCTCCTCCTCCTCCGTTTTCCTCACCTTTTAAGAAGAGGCAGTGGAAGCAAGGTGAATTTCCAGGCATTACACAGACATCCGCCCCCAAGAAGACTCCTCTCAAAAATGTCAAAAAGAAATTAGACCGCGAGAACCACGCCAAGGCTTGGGCCAATACCGTCACTGAAGCCTTGTCGGACCATATCGCCAACAAACGTTGGCTTCCAGCTCTTGAGGTCGCTTCCCCCTTCTTTAATTTCACCCTTAGTTTTAGATTTCTTTTTTGCCACACCGACTCATTACCTCTGCAATTACAGTTTTCGTATGTTCTGCACCCTTCTTTTTGTTACTCGCTCGTCGTGTCTATTTAATGTTTCGATTTATACTGTAATTTGAGACAAATCGACGACCGATTGCGTAATTTTGTAATAGGCACTGGAATTAGCTCTTTTTTCCCCATTTACAGACTAACACTACATACTTGGGGATTTCAGGGAGATTAGTTACATGTTCTGCAAAGTTGAATTGAAAACATGAGCGTTCGTCTTCATGTGCCCTAATTTCAAGGAATGAAGTGTAAATAATTTGATGAGTCTGCATAAACTTCTTGTGCTATTGTTTTCACATCTGACTAACAATTGTGTTGCTTTAATTCAACCGTTTAGGTGTTTGAAATGCTCCGCGAACAGCCGTTTTATGAACCAAAAGAAGGAACTTACATGAAGCTGATTGTTCTACTTGGAAGATCAGGCCAACCACATCGTGCCCGTCAGATTTTTGACATAATGTTTGAAGAAAGATGTGAACCTACCTCTGAACTCTACACTGCTTTGATTGCTGCTTATTGTAGGAACAATCTCATTGATGATGCATTCTCCACTCTGAATCTGATGAAGACCCTCCCTGGCTGCCAGCCTGACGTCTACACTTATAGCACCTTGATCAAGGCATGTGTAGATGAATCTCGCTTTGAATTAGTCGAATCCTTGTACGAGGAAATGGCAGAACGACTGATATCTCCAAATACAGTGACCCAGAACATAGTCTTAAGTGGGTATGGCAAGATAGGGAAGTATGAGCAGATGGAGAAAGTTCTTTTAGGAATGCTTGAAAGCACAACTTGCAGACCGGATGTGTGGACAATGAATATAATTCTTGGTGTGTTTGGTAACGAGGGGCAGATTGAAATGATGGAAAGATGGTATGAAAAATTTCGCAATTTTGGTATTGAGCCAGAAACTCGTACATTTAATATTTTGATTGGTGCTTATGGGAAGAAAAGGATGTATGATAAAATGTGTTCTGTGATGGAATATATGCGCAAACTGCAGTTTCCTTGGACGACCTCGACTTACAACAACGTGATTGAAGCTTTTGCAGACGTGGGAGATGCAACGAGCATGGAGTACACATTTGAGCAGATGCGTGCTGAGGGCATGCGAGCAGACACCAAGACATTCTGTTGCCTTATAAATGGATATGCCAATGCAGGTCTCTTCCATAAGGTAATTAGCTCAGTTAAGTTGGCAGGAAAATACGAGATTCCAGAGAATACCTCATTTTATAATGCAGTTATATATGCGTGTGCTAAGGCTGAAGATCTAATGGAAATGGATAGAGTATTTAAGCGAATGAAAAATAAACACCGTCAGCCAGATATCAAAACATATTCTATTATGATAGAAGCATATGGGAAGCAAGGCATGAATGACAGGGTCCATTACGTGGAAATAGAAAAGAAGCAGGTCATCGATGATGCTCTTATAACGAGTCATTAGGTGATCGATGATGCCTTTTATTTAAACAATATAACAGTTGTTCGAGGCTTCTAGAGATGATGAATTTCTTCCAATTAATTAGTTTCTGAACGGAAATATAACCGTTTACTTAAAGTCCAGATCTTGCTACTATTTCGTTTACATGTAAAGCACTAGGGATGAGATTGATATCATGTTAGTTATGGTTTACAGCAGAGCACGGGGGGGGG